AGAGCACCTACAGTGTGGACTATATTAGGGACACTTCTGAAAACACAGATAATTGGCATGCACAAGGGTAAACCTCTGGTGACTGAAGAAGAGTACAATTTGTGATCCTTGTGTTTGAGACTTAACTGACTTCTGTTGCTAATTTCTACTTGGACATTTTTCACTTGACAATTTCGGAGCTGCCACCCAAACTACTGGGTCCCACAGATATAAGCATTTCAAACTCGAATTTCTAGCCAAGAGGCACCTTTTCTAGGAAACTCATGTTAGGATCTGGGGTCTTAACAAGCCTAGAATTGTTAAAGGAACTGTTTGCCAGGAACTGATTTTATTGACTGGTTTGAAATCAGTTCCTCCTCCATGGCTTTTTTTTTTTTTCTAAAATAATTAAAATAGGGAGGAACTTCACACATTAGATAAAAATGTATGGCCAGTATTACATTTGAAAACATAAATGGGTGAAATTCCAGGAAACTATCTAATATTAGCAAGTTTAACATTGTGATAACTACTGCCTAGAGCAGCTCTAAAGGTTTATTTTAACTTTGTTTTAATTTACAGGTAATGCCATGCTTCTTAGAAAAGAAGTGACTTCTAATTTTTATTTATGATAAATGTTTATTATTACAGTAATACAATAATTAATTTTCACAGTGATTAAGGACAAAGGTTGTTTAAATTAGGAAGATCTCCAAACATCATAATGGAGAGGAATATTTATTTTTGAAGATCTTGGATAACTGCCTTGACAAAGCCATGTGATTTGCTGCTCAAGGAAAGAGAGGTGGACTCACATTATTAGCTCTTGTATACTTGGCCTAGTACAGTCACTCATGGTACAGTTGATCTCATTGCCCTTTGATTTGCCCTTTCATCTGTTGTTCTAGAGTCTCAGTTTCAGGACATCAGAAATCATGTCTCTACTGAGGTTGAGTATACTGTTGGCTTAATTGATATGATTTAACAAATACAAGCTGAACTGGCCATCCTTCTCTCAGTTTTTGATTGGTTTGTATATTCCTATAAAG